ATATATTATATATAAATATATTATATATTATATGTCGAACGTATAAATGAAATTTCTGCTAGACACTCCGTCTCAACATGACAACAAGTCGGAGAGTTCGTTGGTCAGTACTCACGAGTTCTCAAGCAAATGAGTGTGATTTTAAAGCCGTCGCTACTAATGAGAAGAGACGAATTCATCAGATATTCTGATATCCTCTTATTAGACTCGGACAACACGCTTACCAGAATGCTTTCGATAATGATATAGTTTCAGAAAAGGTCCGATATCATTCAGAGGCAATTTCGTCACCATTGGGAGTTTTAATACTGTTGCTGCTGCTGCTATACAAAATTCAAACGATAAACTGCAATATAGTCAAACCCAAGAGTATTTGAATTGTTTGAAATGTTACTTTTAGGGAAACGATTATCACCTTCGTAATTCACGTCCGTCTGGAAACAATAATTGTAATTCACATCCAAAATTATTTTTCGAGTCAACATTGCCGAAATTCCCACAAACCACAGTTATTTGAATATCAAACAAAGTTGTGAAAGCAAGAAACCTTCGAATTTCCCTCCAAAAATAATGTAGCTATGTCTTTGATTTCACAAGTGACTATAACGTCAGTATTACAAAAATGGATCAATCGCAGAAGCGATGAAAATTTCAAACTTGTGATAATGAAGGAACTCGGTGCAGACATAATTATTGGCTATGATTTACTGAAAGAGCACCGAGATGTATTGTTGGTGGCCCAAGACGCCCCCCAATATTTCGTAGGTTGGAAATGGGAACATTAACATATTGTAAAACATTTCCTTCATCTGAATATTTTTCATTCAAACTTAGAAAAAAGTTTAGGCTTTTTTGTTACTAATTTCAGCAATCATCCTGACATGACGTTTACCTATTCTGCAGGTAGTCTCGTTAATTGTTGTTGTGAGCACGATGTGATCTATTATTCAGTGCTGATACAAAGTCTCATTTTTCTCAAGAAAAAAATTAGCAAATACATCTTCTACATATCGGATCCAAGTCTATCTACTCTCTTACTCAGTTTAGAGCTGCTCAGAATACCTCTAACTTTGCACTTTGAACTGAACCAACCAATCCTCATGTTATTGAAGTTTTCTATTTTTTCAGCAAGAAATAACGTCAACGGTATCGCATACGACTGGTATTTCAAATAATAAATCTGAAAACAGACAACCAAGTCATGAACGTCAATCAATCAATCAAATTCTTGAAACATCAGTCATCCCCAGTGTAATAGGAAATCACTCAAGTAAGTACTAAATACTGAAAAAAATTGGCTATCCTAAAGTTAATACATAAATCCTTCATTATAGGAAAGTTCAAGGGTCACCATCATCTTACCGCAGGACAGAGAAACAGACTTCTTAAAATATTAAAACTAGCAAATCACCATGGCAAAAAATTGTACAAATTCAGGCAATTACTACAGCCATTTGGATGTTATGTAGTATGTAGTGAGGTGCATGTGTTTGGAGGAATTTCACATGGTACAAGTACAAGTAGTCCCGAACAAGGTTTGTAATATTTTTTGGGGAGTAGAAATTATAACTTTCCTACGCAAGAAACTGTTATAAGTAGTTAAAACAATTACGATTAGATAAAATAATTTCTTGGTGGAGTAGCTAGGTTTGTAAAATATTTCAGGTTTTGAAAGAGTACCTACTCAATCTTCACAGAATTGAGAAGAATATACTAACAAAGGTGTACATCGCTTACTTACAAGAATATGGCATAACATTCATAATCAAATTGAAATTAGAAAACAAAAACGCGATCTGAAATAACAATTCACACACTCTTCTTTCATACAAGGTGTTTCATAATGGAATGCTGAATCTGAAGGGCAATCATCCTTAGATGATTTATAGAAAAAAATATCATATGAACATATAGGTCCACAACCGCTTCATTTCTGAGATACATAATATTGAAATTATAAAACAAATAATTTCCCACCTCATATCTCTGAAACCGCTTCGGCTTTTTTTACGTACGCAAAAACATACATTTTTCCATGGTAAAAGTTTTCCTAATGTTCATCAGTGTCATCCCTCTTGACATGCCATGTCATTATTTTTATCAAAATCATAAATGTTTTCAAAATAAATATTATTTTTGTAATTGCCCTCTATTTGGTCATAATAAAATGCGTTCATTAACTTGCCCCTATGTGAAATCAGCCGTTGAAGTGTAATAAGATCATTTTCTTAGCTCTCTAGAGTGCTAATTTCGTAGTTGTCAACATAAACAATTTTGACACTTCTCTAACTAGATATGTGATATCATTCACGTCATATGAACTTGTTTATTAAAAAAACATTGTTATTATGAATTGAAGGGGTTATATTTTTAAAAGTGATTAATTTTTGGGAAAGAGAGTTTTTGGCTTTCTACTACTCCATCTTGATACAAAAAAAGGGATGAGGGAATCTCCCAAAGAAAGGAAGGAAGTAATCAATTTTATTTGAATTGAAGGGGTTATATTTTTAGGAGTGATTGATTTTTGGGAAAGAAAGTTTTTGGCTTTCTACTACTCCATCTTGATACAAAAAAAGGGATGAGGGAATCTTCCAAAGGAAGGAAGGAAGTAATCAATTTGAAAATAAGTATTAACTCTATACATGGATGTAAAAAATCCTCTTCCGCTATCGCTTCCTCAAAATTTGAGGCTCGTACCAAGTGATGGGTTGAAACTTGAAAATTGTACAAAGATTCTGAAACCCTTTGAAGAGGTAACTAAATCTTGTATATAAGGCATGTATATCTGTGTTATAAGACTGATTCATGTCTTAACATGTACAATGCAAAATTTTTTCAGAGAAGATAACATCGGTAATGACCAAGATTGCAAAAATGGCATCCAAAAACTGATAGAAGAGATTAACAACTGCTTCGGTGAGCTTCATAATAATAATATCTACGCCATCTCTACTTATTTGGATCCAAAATAAAAAACAAATTTTTTTAATGAAATAACTAGAGAACGCATTGAATTAGCACTACTAATATCAACCAGCCAACCCCCATGGAAATCCACCATCAACCATCCACTAGTTCTGGAGATGTAGTAAACACATCTTGCCCCACAGCCACCGCCTCCACGGGAAAGATTGTAGATTCAATGTTAGCCGAAATGCTAGCCTCTGAACCAAATAGTAACGATGAAATTGAAAGTTTACCAATCTAAAATAGATGCGTGGTACTAAAGTTACTATTAAATAACTACATTGAAGAAAAACGAATCAATATGCATGAAGACAGTCTTCTATGGTGGAAAAATAATCCGAAATATTCGGAGCTTTACGGAGCTGTACGGCAATACCTATCTTCTCCTCCATCAAGTGTCCCCACCGAACGACTTTTTAGCAATGTTGGATTGGTATATGATGAGCTGAGAAACCGGTTGTCAGGGGAAACAACGTCCAAATTGATTTTTATGAAAATTAACCTCCCTATAATTAATTTTGATTATTAGTATTCAATTCTTTTATTTTGATTAATGATATTCGACTTGAGTCATTAAAAAGGAAATGAAGACTGCATTGTTATTTTCATTTCAATTCCTAAATAAAATTGTATCTTTCACTCATCTTTTTTTTTGTGTGCGTGTGTTGTGTATGTGTATGTTACCGAACTCCTCCTTAACTGCTGGACCGATTTTGATGATTCTTTATTGTGTGTGTTTTGAGAATGGTTTACATTCTATCAAGTTTGGTCCACTTAAAAATGCCCTTTTTATTAATTTTTGTGTATGTATGTACCTAGTTATGTACAGAGTAGTACAGACAGGACAGCGACTTTTGGGTTTGGTCCGCTAGTATTTATAATATCCTATACCGGTGTGAAGTTAGCAGCCAAAATCAGCAGCTTTTTTCCAGAAATACCCGAATGGTCAGTAGCGTACCAAAATCGTGATAATGTTTTTTGGGTTTCTGATGTGCCTTTACGTGAAAGCATATAGCTATACTGTATATTCTGTATCAAGGCAAATCTCTTGGGCCTCGCTCACTGGGTTAAACACACCCCCGATATGAAAAAAATTCTTGAAGTATGAATGAAACGAAAAGCCACTTTGAAACTGATACGAATGATTTGTATAAATATATTATTTACTCGGTATAAATGAAAATCACTTCGGCCCCGTCCAAGAGGGTTGAACAAACCCCCGAAATGAAAAAAATTCTTGAAGTATGAAGGAAACGAAAAGCCACTTTGGAATCAATACGAATGATTTGTATCATTATATTCTTTACTCGGAATAAATGAAAATCTCTTCGGCCCCGTCCAAGAGGGTTAAACACCCCCGAAATTAAAAAAAAATCTTGAAGTATGAAGGAAACGAAAAGCCACTTTGAAATCAATACGAATGATTTGTATCATCATATTCTTTACTCGGTATTAATGAAAATCTCTTCGGCCCCGTCTAAGAGGGTTAAACACATCCCCGAAATGAACAAAATTGTTGAAGTATGAAGGAAACGAAAAGCCACTTTGAAATCAACACAAATGATTTGTGTCATTATATTCTCCACTCGGTTTAAATGAAAATCTCTTCGGCCCCGTCCAAGAGAGTTAAATACACCCCCGAAATGAAAAAAAAATTTGAAGTATGAAGGAAACGAAAAGCCAATTTGAAATCAACACGGATGATTTGTGTCATTATATTCTTCACTCGGTATAAATGAAAATCTCTTCGGCCAGGTCCAAGAAGATTAAATACACCCCGAAACGAAAAAAATTCTTGAAGTATGAAGGAAACGAAAAGCCACTTTGAAATCAATACGAATGATTTGTATCATTATATTCTTTACTCGGTATGAATGAAAATCTCTTCGGTCCCGTCCAAGAGGATTAAACACACCCCCAAAATGAAAAAAAATTCTTGAAGTATGAAGGAAACGAAAAGTCACTTTGAAATCAACACGAATGATTTGTGTCATTATATTCTTCACTCAGTATGAATGAAAATCTCTTCGGCCCCGTCCAAGAGGGTGAAACACACCCTCGAAATGAAAAAAAATCTTGAAGTATGAAGGAAACGAAAAGCCACTTTGGAATCAACACGGATGATTTGTGTCATTATATTCTTCACTCGGTATAAATGAAAATCTCTTCGGCCCCGTCCAAGAGAGTTAAATACACCCCCGAAATGAAAAACATTCTTGAAGTATGAAAGAAACGAAAAGCCACTTTGAAATCAATACGAATGATTTGTGTCATTATATTCTTCACTCGGTATAAATGAAAATCTCTTCGGCCCCGTCCAAGAGGGTGAAACACACCCTCGAAATGAAAAAAAATCTTGAAGTATGAAGAAAACGAAAAGCCACTTTGGAATTGATACGAATGATTTATATCGTTACATTTAATATTCGGTATCGAGGAAAATTTCTTCGGTCTCGTTCAAGAGAAATATGTATTATTTGTCTTTATTGCCAAAAATTGTGAAGGGAAATTGAGAATTTTGAGTTATGTTGTCATGACTCCACCAATAAAGCTTATATTCGATTATGAAACCTAATAAATTTACAATTTTCATATTATTCAAATAGAACAGGTTAGTGATAAAGATGAAGGTATATCCTATAGATATGAAATTGTCAAACGAAACTTTATACACAAAATTCACATGGAATAATACTTAAACTAGTAGAAAGCATGTGTGTTTGGTTTTCTTCAAACAAACATACGAAAATGTCATTTCTGTCTCTTCATTTGAGGTTAACAAATTTTATTTTCCATAATAATTATCATATCACTTCTACTTTCGGGAATGTGTGAAACCTCAAGGGCTTCTTGTCCTAGAACCAACTTCGAACAATCGATTCCTACAAACAAAATTTTTCATCAAGCATAATGGGTTTTATTTGTGAAAATATTGAATCGAATGATCTGGACAATTAACCAACTGCAAAGCGTCGGATAAAATCGTAAATGACTTTCTAACAAAATGTTTCGAAGCTCACTGGATAGCAAATAATGAACTTTTTTATTGACATCTCGCCGCTCAGTTCGAAAGTTCTTCGAACTTCTATTGTTGAAGTTTTATAATTTGTCTCTTACATACACTTTCATTAGCCGATGCAATTCTTGGAGAGTCACCCTGTAGGAACTAGTGTAAATCTAGAAAATCCCTTGCATCCAAATCATTTTTCAATCAAGTAAACACTCTTCAGATATCAGTTTCAGGTAATATTCATGATAGAAATCAGTAGAATTGCATTTTCAATTCATAATGATAATTTAAAGAATAAAGTGTTTCCTTACATAGGGCTATAATCTTAATTCAACTTTATGAAAGTGAAGCTACTTCAAATATTCTCAAATATGAAATTTGACATCAATCTAATAGTTAGAACTGAAGTTACAACCTTTAATATCACGTTAAAAAATTGTAAAACGCACCTTAGAGAAGATTAATCGAGAACAAAGAAATTGCTTGAGATGGCATGAAGAAAGAAAAGTGAGAGTCACGTCGTCATATTTTGGAAGGATATGTAAGGTTAAGAAAGTC